TTATTTTTTACAATACTTTTTATGGAGCAGTTTTCTTTTAAGTCCCATGTTTAAGTAGAATTAATGTGAAGTTGGATTTTCCATGACTGTTTTGACAATCACCTGTTTTTCTAGGTGACTGCAGGCTGAAATGGCTGTATGTGCAAGGTATCTACATATCAGAAGACAAATGTGCAGAGATGTCATGTTTGGTGCTTACAGACACCACACTGCATTTTGGGATTTCATAGATAGTGTTGTGATACTTTGTAGTTTCCAGTGATCACTGTCACGCTGATTCGTTTTACTGTAACCTTTTTATTTCTTTCAGTGCACATCATTCTCTTGTTATGCCAGATCTGCAGCAGTGTGAGAGGGCAGAAGGTAACGGCATGCTTTTCCTCTACATACCATAGACGTCGGTCTGATGGCATAATAGTTACAAAAACAATCTGTATCTTTTTTCCTTTATCGCAGTAATTTTTTAGCCTAAGTGTAAAAATCTGTTCTGGGAGGGTCTCAAACTGTGGTCTTCAGTGAGTTCAGCAAAATGATTCACGTCAGCCTTTGTTGTCTTTTTACTGAAGAAAGCCTTCCCTTTGTGCACGTGGACAGTAGTCCGAGCATATGAGATCAGTGAGATCATCTTCTCTGCTTATTTCCAGGTATAAAATACCTGGAATGGGTGTCAGATTTTGTTTCTAAATACAAAAACAAGCATTTAAGCTTGAAGAATCCAGCTGGTGCCATGCTGAGGATAGCAGGGCTGGAGGACACCATGTACAGAGGGAAACATGATGAAGTGAACGGCTGGGGAAAATTCTACCTTCCCAAGATCGTAAACATGCAGGTCATCGGTGTGGTGGAGGGCACCTCGTGTCCATGTGACGAGCTCGTGTTGATGACCTGTGAGGACAAAAAGCTGTACGCCTACGATGGAGAGGAGCTGCATCTGGTGGCTTCCAGTTTCCAGCAACTACGTGACAAAGACCTAGAGTATCCAGCATCCAAGAGCTACTACAATGGAGAGGCCTTCAAAGATATGGTGAGAAGTTCGAGTGTTAAGAATAAGACCTGCTGGTAGAGATCGATCACCTGACAGGTTCTCTGTATTGTGTTATCTTCTGTTTAGACTGAAAAGGACTGGGAAGCAGTGAAGATGGGAGGCGTGGGGAGGAACCTGGAGGGAGAGCATCAAAAGCTGGTGAAGGAAACCAAGTCGGCGTTCTTAAAAAGCCTAAAATCATAGGTGGGTATCCATCCCAGCTTAGAATTAGTCAGAGATATACAGTTATCAAACAGTTAGGTGAATAAACAACACTGAGACACTTGGAGACTGTTAACGTGCTGCACGGGTGAGGACTCAGAGAAAGACTCACACAGTGCAGTAGTCGTTTTTATTTATAGTAGCAAGCAGGGTGGAACAAGCATAGCAGTTTCCTTTAATTTTGCATGTGTGTGTGCGCTAATCTCTTGCGGTAAATGTCACAGGGTGAGATTCCTGTTTCTGCAGACAAAGCTGTGGGTGTTGTATCTGTGCAAGGGAGCGAGTAGTACATTTCGGTCTTTCCTATAAGAGTAAAATATGAACATATACTTTAATGCAACATAAAACTCATAAAAGCGTTTCTTCCTTAACAGAATTAGATCCAGGATTGAAGCCTTTATGTTTGACTGCAGTGGTTGAAGCTCTTTCCTTGTTATCCATCACTTCAGTAAAGCACAGCTGGTGTTTGCTGTGATGGAGAAACATGACATGTTGTGTTTCAGAGTGGTTGATGTGGATAATCATTGAGGTTGTTGTTCTCTTAATAATACTTTTTTTTTCTTACAGATTCTGGTATTTGGCCAAAAGAGCTTCAGGTTTTTGGCTTCAACAGCTTGAAAGCAAACATCTTCAGTGGCATGAAGTATTACTGCATGAGCCCCTCTGACCACACACTAACGCTAAAGCAGAGCTGAATGTGTAAAATTATACTGATTATATTCTCCATGGAATTCTGATCTGTTTTATTTCTCCACCCAGATTGTATTTATTAGATGATAGTATCTGCTAAAGGAGGAAGAAAGTATTTTTTGATGCTGTAGTTTATTACTGCAAGTGTCACAACATCAACAGGAAGAAAAAAAAAAACAAAAAACTAATGAAGTATCAGTTACACGTGATAATGACAACAGGAAAACTCCACCCAATCACAGCATGTCTGATAACAGGGCCAGTTTATTCTTAAGTAAATGTTTCACTTCTTGATATCAGCTGCTCTCTGTGTGACCTTCACTTCTTGCTCCACTGCTCATTTCACCCTCCTTACTTACACTAACATTAATAAATATGAATACTGAATAATTAAAGTGATCAAAGTTAACACTGTTTGTGTGGATTATTTTCTGACATTATCTACAGAACACCTGCAGTGTTGTATGCTGTTTAACAGTACTGCACAATGCTGCAATGCGTTTGTTCTTTCCTGTTACAAATTCAGTGAGTGCATCTGAAACTGTTTTTATAAACTAAACAAGAGTGAGCATAATAGTACATATTATAAAGGTACTTGTATTCATCTCACTGTTTCATCCATAAATGTACCTGACAGTTACAGTACCATAGAGTAGTTTTAACAGTACTTTAAACATAATGCATTAGAACAATACAAACAACATTAAAGATCACGGGTGTGCAGGGTAAATGGAGCTGTTTTTTAAAATTATCTTTATTTGGATTGGACAAGAAAAAACCATCTGCATAGCAGTATATGAATAACATGGGAACAAAGTCCTTCCAGGTTTTAGATTAAGTCCAGGAGAGCAAATGATAAACAAAGTGATCAGCGGGTGCATATTAACCTCCACTAGCTATTACTAGGAGAGTTGCTCGCATGCTCTCCCGTGGAGCTGTTTTCTACAGTAGAGTAAGAGTCCAGTGCAGGGCTGGTCTTCTTTAAATCACATGAGGAACCATTTTAAGGCGGAGGCTGCACGCTCTGTGCTTTCCGTTTCATTCTTAGACTGCAGCAATGGTGAGTAGCAGCTTTTCACTTCTTCACTGTCATCTTCTCTGCCACCAATGATAGTTATTTTATTCTGTCAATATTAAATAATGTTTTCTCTCATGTTTAAAATAGGCAAAGAGCAAAACAGGTATGTCTGCAGATTCTGCTGAAGCCAAAGTTATCAGATCTCTTGTGTTTTTAAATCCCTAACAGCTCAATCATTATCATTTTAGAAAAGAAGAATTTCTGAAAACTCAACAAGGTTTCAGAGAAAATGCCTACAAGATTATCATGAAGATGGATGACTGGTCTAACATGGCTCCAGGAAGTAAACACTTAGTGGATGAGGTGGGTTAATTTTGGCACCTTTAACACTGTCCTGTTATGTCACTTGTAACATTAAGTAAATGTGTTTTCCCTCAACAGATTCTTCACAGCATCTTCTTTTTGGGCAAAATCAATAAAATCCCTTTTTCTCCAGAAGAAATAATCTCTGATGGTGATATTTTGAAAGCCTTAAAGGAAAAATTTCCCAGACCTTTTCAGTTCTATCTGACTCAGCTTCCCAGACGGAGTCCGTTCTCCTGTGTGCTCGACATGGTAAGATGACTGTTCTCACATTTTCAGTCAATCTGTCAAACTTCCGTTTTAAAGAAAGTAAGAAACAAAGATGGATTTTTGCTTGTTGATTTGAAATTAGATATATTTTGAACTATTCCACTCCATCTCTTATCTAAATAAAAAGCATCCAATTGTCCTGCATAGCTAAATAACTCAATAGACTAAACATCTTGATCAACTATATATTAAAAGAAATCACAAAATCTCATGAATTAGAGTCAGATATTTATAAAAATATTAGTTACAATATAAACAAATGGAAGTTGATCATTTCTAGGATGCTGGTGTAACATTTAGGCTGTATTTGTAACTATTTCCAGATTGTCCTGCTGAAGAATCCAGAGAACGAAGAGCAAATAAGAAAGAGTCTGCAAGAACTCATCAAAAACCTTGCTCCACTTTTTCTGGTCTCCTCCACCATCTGCATTTCCCAGAAATCCAAAACTGACCAAAATTCAGAGAGGTACTACGGAGTCTCCATGTCCACCAACGGTCCTAACCCGGGGAAAATTGTGATTGCTGCCTCCTGTCTTAGCAAATGGGATGAATATGTATCTGGTGCAGTGATGACCTATTATCCAAAAAAGGTCAAGAAAGATTACTTTGATGGAACCATTGAAGTACCTGGAGACATCAGGTGTGAGGCATTTAATCTCAGTAATGATGAAAAATTGAACTCTTGCAGATCATGTCACAATTTGTTTGGCTTGAACACAAAAGAAATAAAAGAGTGGGATTATGGTAACTGTGCTGAACCCGAGAGCCTGAGCAACTTGCTTACAAATGAGGAAGAAGTTAAAAATAAAACACATGTGCACGAACACTCAGCTGAAAACAGGCAGAGAGCAGAGGAAGAGGTTCGTAAGGATCTTATGAATGTGTTGCGAACAATTCAGTTTAAGACATGGACAGGTGAATTTTACACCCCAGAATCATAAGGTGCAGAGGTGACCTGATACATCTGCTTTGGTCTGATTCTGATGAATAAATGATGCTCTGACAGAATGAGTGTGGATTTGCTCAAACTGTTTACTCTCCAGCTCCGTATAATGTGCTTGTTAGAAATTATATGTAATAATAAAATCAGGCTTCTACGTTTTAATGCAATATGAAGCATGCGAGACAGCAATTATTGGGAAGAAACACATCTTTATACTGGTCTATACCCAGGATCACATGAAGTAAAAACAAAAAAACCATTTTTTCCTTTTATGATCCCATCTATAACCTCTTTCATAAGCGCTACACATGTAGTTATAATAGTTGTAGCAGTTATAGCACTAATTATATTTCTGCATTGTAAAATCTAACTTGTTTCAGTTTAATCCTGTAAAGTCTCAACCATGAAATAATTGACAGAAAACTCAACTGGAGTGCTTATTGAACCTTCTAACAAATAAAATAAATAAACTGCATATGTGAGTTGTTTTGTTTTTTTGTTTTTTCCCCACATCCAGCATTTTTGTGCAATTTATTGTTTTTAACATTGTGTGTCTGCAGATTCTACTGATGAATTTATCAGAGCTGTGACGGGTTTTTAAATCCATAACTGCTCATTCATTTTAGGAGAGCAGAATTTCTGAGAAATCAACAAAATAAAATAAAAAAAAAAAAAAAGAATCTTGAAGGCATTTCTTGTCAGGGCTCTGTGTGCGCTCTGTGTGCGGGCAGGTGGAAATGTGGATTCAAATGCAGGACTCAGAGACTAAATGTAACTAAAACCACAGCTTTTATTGCTGGTACGAAAACAAAACGAAGTGAACACAGAATATGGAGACCAAAAACACACAGGCATAATCTGAGGGTACGACGCGACACTGAGCACAGGAAAACACAGGGCTAATATACACAGGGTGGTAATCAGCGAATGGGCAACAGGAGGGAGACACAGCTGGGAGAGATCAGGGTTAACGAGACGGGGGGAACCAAGCTGCACACACTAACATAAGACAAAGACTTTCACAATAAAACAGGAAACATGAATTACTAAACAAGCATGCAGACTTTACACTGAGAGACAGACAGACAGAATGACACATGGAACCTGAACTAAACTAAACGTGAGATATAACTGAGAACAAATCCTTAAGCACGGATAAACAGAAACAAGAAATAATCATCATCATCATCACTACAAGAATAAGAAAACAATCCATGAAGCAGAATTAAACCGAAATATAATAAACTCAAAATACTGGGTCCAATGGACCCAGAACCGTGACATTTCTGCCTTCAAGATACTGAAACAGATGCAGGAGTGGTGTAACATGCCTCAAGGAAGTAAGAGGTGGAAGGAACGCTTAATGGACTAGGCGGGTTAAACTGCAAGCTTTGGAAACAGGACCATTGTGCAATCTGTAATTTAACAATGAATTCATGTGCTTTCACTTAGCAGACTCTTCACAGCATCTTCTTTCTGGGAAAAAACAAACCTCCCTTTTTTCCCCCAAGAAGAAATCATCAGGGATATTTTGTCAGGCTTAAAGAAAAAAAATATCCCAGGCCTTTCGACTTTTATCTGACTCAGCTTCCCCGGCAGAGCCTCCAGTTTCATGTCATGTATAGTGCAGAGTACTTTCATACTGATGAATTCAAAAGCTGAAAAACCTAGTGTACATTATGTTTCAGCAACAAACAGTGAAGAGTCGGGCACTTTTTAAAGGATCTGTAGATTGCAAACACAAAGCTAAAAGACTTAAGATCCTTGAGGATATCAACACAACTCCAGGGAGGTGATACTCTTTATTACTGTGGAGTTCATGGATGTGCAAATATCCACAATGTTGACATCTTCTTAAACAAGGATTGCATTCAGCAGATGCTTTGACAGATTACGTTTTTGATTTCAAGTCTGAGATAACAATTAAAATTGTTTTTGTGACCTTTGTCTCTCCCTGTGTGTAAAAAAAAGTAATGGCCTCATTTATGTCCTCAAGAAACATAAACCTTATGTGTCTCTAGCCAGTACAAAACATCACAGCTTAAAGTTTAAACTTGTACGCACACCATGACTTAACACCAGCGATGTGGCAGCACGAGAGTCATAGCAATAGCGATAGATTTATTTAACTGATAGCATTACTGCTGTTCTTTTCCCACATTTTCTATCGTTTTTATTATTGCATGTGGTGTTGTTATGCAATTAAATTTAGTATAAAAATGTTCAACCTGTGCAGATACACAGGTTTCTTTTCTTTTTTATTTCATTGACACAATTGCTACATTTCATTTTTAAATGAATTACATCACCCTTAATTTAACACAGTAACACAAAAGCTAACCAATTATGAACCTAATAAGCTTATAATATCCTTATATTTCTAAATAACATTAAAGCTACACTCGTTGACACAGTTGTAATTAGGCATAAATCCATCTATTCTTAATTCACTGAAAATAAGCAACTGTTAAAAAAGAAAATTGGTAAATGGTATGTATGAATTTTTTATTTTTTTAAAGCACTTACTTTCATTTTAATGACTGTGGAATTTAATTTCTAGCAGATCTTAGTTGGCAGTTGACTGTATCTGTAACCGTTTCCAGATAGTCCTGCTGAATAATCCAGAGAATGAAGAGCAAATTAAGCAGAGTCTGCAAGAACTCATCAAAGACCAAGCTCCACATTTTCTGGTCTCCTCAACCATCTGCATTTCTCAGAAATCCTGTTCAAAGAGGTACTACGGAGTCTCCATGTCCACCAACGGTCCTAACCCGGGGAAAATTGTGATTGCTGCCTCCTGTCTTAGCAAATGGGATGAATATGTATCTGGTGCAGTGATGACCTATTATCTAAACAAGGTCAAGAAAAATGACTTTGATGGTACCACTGAAGTACCTGGAAACACCAGGTGTGAGTCTCAGTAATGATGAAAAAAAAATGAACCCTTGCAGATGAACTTAGTTGTGATTTATCACAAGTTTGATAAATAAATCAAACTCTGCTGTTATAAGTTTGGACTTGCTGTAATCACAGATTCAAACACAGCACACTTTATTACCTCAAACTCTTTACTCTGCAGCTCCTCATAATCCTGAATCCTTTCAATTAAATGATAATAAATGTTATGCGGAAGTGTGCAAAGTCGGAAAAAGGTGTGTTGATCGTCCTGTTAATTAGAAAAGCAGACTGTGATATTAACCCAAGTTCCAAGGTACCGACTGATAAAAAGGCAGGAATAAAGCTGGAATGTTTCTTCGATTTAAGAGCTGCTGAAGAGGAGACTGCTCGCCTCGTCTTAGAGCTATTTACTCAAAATTTATACATTTATAATAAAATCTAGGCCTTTATGTAACTTTTTAAATCAGAAGTCACAATGAGACTTCCCCAAGTGATGACTTATATTATAAAGTAATCGGGGTTTTTTAAGTTTCATGCTTAAAAATAGTACAGCTGAGGTATTATCTTAATAACCGTGCATTCATAATTTGTATATATTGGCAAAGACACATCAAGTGTTTAAAATAAACATTAATGACATTTTCCCTCCACTAGTCTGAAAGAAAACATTACAAAGAATGAAAACAGCTCCAAATCTTATATTTTTCACTTTCATGCAGCTAAAAACGACAGAAGCAGCAAGTGGACGCAGTGTTTATCCCCCTTTGTGTGTTTCTTTCAAGCGAAAAATCTGTATTGTCACATTGTCCCCAAAAAGTCTCACCAGTTTTATGCTTTCCATTAGCGCAGAGGTGAGAAACTCCAGGCCTCAAGGGCCGTTGTCCTGCAGATTTTATATATTTCACCCTGGGCCAACACACCTGAATCATTAGTTCATTACCAGGCCTCTGGAGAACTTGAAGACATGTTGAGGAGCCCAAAAAGGTTGATTCTGTTCATGTGGACGTAGCGTTTTCAGTGGGAGAAACATTTTGTCACTCATCCAAGTGACTTCTCCACTCTCAGTCTGTTGAGGAGGTAATTTAGCTATTAAATCAGCTGTGTTGGATCATGGACACATGGAGTTCACCCCCACTCTAGCGGGGGTTGCCACTGGCCATGTGCACCACTAGATGGCAGCACAATCATTTCAGTTAAAATTTGCTGTAAGAGGCAAATCAAAGTAATTTTTCCAGCTTATGTAAAACTATTTTGCTCCTGGCAGCCACAGGAGAAACACATTTTCACATCCCACCCTGGATTTGATTGGACTTTGGAAATAACGTGTAATCCTAATAAAATGTCCTCACGCTTGTATTGCAATCTTACAGATCCTGCTCCTTGAGCTAAGGCCTATCCCTTTAACTGCAAACAATGTGAGGAAACATAAAGAGTCTTTACTTCTTTTATGGGGGAAAAAAAAAACTCATTGTGCAACAGGAAGAGCAAATAATTCACCTGTCATCAGCGTTGAATCTAATTTTTAGGGGTACTCAGAGGAGAGGTACCAATCCATATCAGAGTAGAATGGACTCCAACATCCTTGATATATCATTATCCCTACCACCAACATAGCATTCAACCAGACATGAAGGAAAAAATATACCCCAAAGATATACTTATTAAAGGCCATATCGCCCCAGCTCTATATTGAACT